ACCAACTCCTGCTTCACTCTCTCCGAATTACAAAAATATCTTTGCTTCATTTTCTCTCTCTCTCTCTCCAAAACCAATCTTTAGAGAGAAGAAAACAAAAAAGTAAAACCATGAATTCGAAGATCATCGAAGCTTTCTTGATCATGGCTCTCTTCGCCACCTCATGCATCGCTCAAGCTCCAGCTCCAACTCCCACTACCACCGTCGCTCCTCCTCCACCTCCCGTCTCTACTCCTCCTCCGGCTGCTGCTCCGGCACCGACCACCACTCCACCACCTGCTCCAACCCCTACACCCACCCTGACTCCTCCCTCTTCCGCTCCTTCTCCTTCTGATGTTCCCGCCGCTTCTCCACCTGCACCGGAAGGTCCTGGAGTTAGTCCCGGCGATCTTGCTCCGACTCCTTCCGACGCCGCTGCTCCTCCACCTAATGCCGCTTTCTCCAACAAAGCTTTCGCCGCTGGTACCGTTTTCGCCGCGGTTCTTTACGCCGTCGTTTTGGCTTAAGACATAAAAAAAAAAAAATCAGTTTTTAATTTCATTTTATAGTTTCGGTGTTAATTTCGAGAATTTGATTGATTTCCGTTATGAATTTGGTTTGATTGATGGGGGGATTGGTAATTATTTACGTTGGAGTCTGAATGGGATATTGACACGTGTAATACCTTTCATGGTTTGTTGTCGAGGTGGAATATGTTTTATGTAAATCCAGTAATAGCTTAATAAATTATTCCATTATTCTTTCTTTGCTACAAAATTCACATGGTTCATCACTCTTTTCACAAAGTTCCGATTCCTGTGAGATTCGGAACTGTAAATCATGTTCTTGGCCTTTTCTTTTGTTATTAAATTGAGTTATCTTTATCGAATTAGTATGAGTCCAAAATATATAATTTAAATAATTCTAAAATCCGGATCTGAGATCTATACAGCATTTTATATTGCTTAGTGCTGCTTACCATGATCTTTATTCTTTATCAACCGAAAATAGCTGACGTAAATTGTATAATTATCTTCACTAAACTTATAGTAGAAACATAAAAAATTTCCTGCTTCACAATATAAGACATTTCATAATTTTAAAAAAATTAAAAATTAAAATGTTTTATATTGTTTCTATCCTTTCAGTTTTAGTGGGTATACCAATAATATACTATAGTTTATTTTGTCAATACATTTTTAGAAGAAAATTAATTATTATTTTTTGAGTAAAAAAGAAAATTAATATTTTAGCTCTCGTGTTTTTAGCGTTTTATAAAAATACTTATTAAACATAGGAAAAGCCAATTTACGCACTAATTATCTCTCATCTTCACCTCTCTTTCCACTTCATTTTATTCATTTGTCATATATCTCCTCCTAATTAAACCCAAACAAATAAATGATTAACGATGAGAGGAAGAGTTTCATTGTTTAAAAGCCCTCACACGACAGAGGAAGACGACGGAGGAATGAAGAACAGAGTTTGGATTGAGACAAAGAAGCTTTGGCAAATCGTTGGTCCGGACATATTGTTTAACTACATATTCCATGATTCTAATAACTCAAGCTTTCGCTGGTCACCTCGGAGATCTCGAACTCGCCTCAATCTCCATCGTTAATAACGTCATCGTCGGCTTCAACTTCGGCCTCTTGGTAATAAATACATACACTCTTGAAGTGATAATCAAGGAGTTTTGTTTATAATATATAATAATATGTGTAGCTTGGAATGGCGAGTGCGTTGGGAACGCTATGTGGACAAGCGTTTGGAGCGAAGAAGTATTACATGTTGGGAGTTTATATGCAACGTTCTTGCATTGTTCTCTTATTTTGTTGTGTCTTGTTGTTGCCGATTTATATTTACACAACTCCAGTTCTCAAATTTCTCGGTCAACCGGACGATATAGCTGAGCTTTCCGGTATAGTCGCCGTTTGGGTCATACCTCTTCATTTCGCATTCACTTTCTCTTGCCCGCTTCAACGTTTCCTCCAGTGTCAACTCAAAAACCAAGTACATAATCTATATATGATTGTTTCAAACGTTATATCTAATTAACTACGTTTATGTTTAGAAAGACTAAAGTATTCACGGTTTTGACGTACGCAAAATTATCCAGTTAAAAAGGTTACATATGCAAGCTTAACTAACGGTTTTCCTTTGGATTGTTTAGGTGACTGCGTTTGCGGCTGCGGTTGTATTGGTGGTTCATCTTTTAGTGTGTTGGTTGTTCATGGACAGACTTAAACTAGGAGTCGTCGGGATAATGGCGACGAGTAGTATCTCTTGGTGGGTCAATGTTCTCGTTCTACTAGTTTACACAACTTGTGGTGGCTGTCCACTTACTTGGACCGGCTTCTCCTCCGAAGCCTTCACCGGACTTTGGAAATTCCTCAAACTCTCCGCTTCTTCCGGCGTCATGATTTGGTACTAAATGGTATATATATGTATAAATTTTGTGATATTTATCTAATGAGTCCGATCCAACTTTTAAAAGTTGATATGTTTTTGAACAGTTTGGAAAATTGGTATTATCGAATTTTGATTATAATGACTGAAAATCTAGAAAATGCTCGAATAGCCGTTGACTCTTTATCCATATGGTAAGTCNTTTATTTACCTTTTTTGGTATTTGATTATGTTTTAGTATAATATGTTTTTTTTTACTATATAATAGATGAAAATGTTATCTTTTTATGTATATATATGATTAACTTATGAAACAACATTTTTTGGGCAGCATGGCGATAAGTGGATGGGAGATGATGATTCCTCTCGCCTTCTTCGCCGGAATCGGGTAAGCAAAAGCCACTGTTGTCTCTATTTGCTCATTTTTAATTATGACTATGAACTAATTCGGTTTAGTACAATTGTACACAACCATGTGAAGTTTAGTTTGGAAGTTACAATGGATCCATGAAAAAATTAATGATAATAATTGCGGGAAAGATATCATATTCATCAGTAAACGTGGGAGTAGTTCTCTAAATATTTCTCTAATTTTTTATCCGTGTTTAATTTTTATTTATGTATGCAATAACGAATTAGGAGCAAATAATGGAAAAGGAGCAAGATTTGCAACAATTGTAGCAGTAACACAATCGTTAATAATCGGATTATTCTTTTGGGTGATAATAATCATTTTTCATAACCAAATCGCTTTGGATCTTCTCTACAAGCGAAGCCGTCTTAACGGCTGTTAATAAACTCACCCTTCTGTTAGCTTTTACCGTTCTTTTTAACAGCGTTCAACCGGTTCTCTCCGGTACGTCACAGTTTATTGTTTCCGTTAATTTTTTTTATATACCGAATCAGCGTTTTGAGTTGACTTTGACTCTCGAGTTATTTACAGGTGTCGCGGTTGGTTCGGGTTGGCAATCCTACGTGGCATATATAAACTTGGGATGTTATTATTGCATTGGGCTTCCACTTGGATTTCTAATGGGCTGGACATTTAAATTCGGCGTCATGGTAATTACGAATTTACTTTTTATAAATTAATTAAATCATTTATATGTTTTGGGTTATTAATTAATGATGTCTTGTAATATTATCTAGGGATATTAGCATCAATAACGTAAAAAAAAATTATAATTGTCTCCGTGACCAAAAATACTGTGCAGTCATGTGTAATGTGTATTTCCGACGCTTATACCCTTGCATAAGTAAGATAGAATATATGGTGTCAACAGCTTTTACTAATTACTCAAACCATTTTGGGACAATTATAAAAATATCACTTTTTGAATGCACATTTGCAAAAATGCTACTTAGGAGTGTCCATTTACAAAAATGCCACTAATTATACATTTATAAAGCCTATATCTTAAAATTCTAAACCCTAAAAATATTTTGACACCTAAAACCCC